ATGTGTTGTAATTTAACCTTTGGCCAGAAGGGAGAGTGTGAGATGACATACATAAAGAATTTTTTTCTCCCTCTGTTCCTAGGAGGATGTGTTGCTAATTCTGTCATAATTGTAAGGGGGAGGACTGCATATATATTTTTTGAAGGGTCAAATTTAGAAAGTTGCAGAGCAGAGAAAATAATAAGGAAGAGCATTTCTAACTTAGTTGGAAGGTAGACATGTGGGAAGTCTGCAGTTTCTGAAGAAGAGGAATAATTTAATAACAGCCCGATCCTGACATTCATTTTCCTCAGCAGGGCTTGGTTTTTGAATTGACATCTGAAATACCTTTCCAGTCACTGAATGTGAAGGTGTCTGTCAGAAGTGGAGGGAAATTATAGCCTGTTATTGTGTGAGGAATAGAGATGTTTTGAGGATCCAGTGTGAGGGGAGAGAGGTGGAAGCAACAGGCAGTGAGTCAGTCATCTAAGCGCTAGACCCACATGCAGACATGGAGGCAGCAAATGTCCTCCATAGTTTGAATAAATTGAATTGGGTCCCACTGGGTATTCTGCTCTCTAGGAGGTAGAAGGTGACTTTGTCTTGTTGGAGCGTAGGTATTAGTACATAAACATAAAACAGAATCAGTTAGTCACTCTTATAATCTCTGTTTTGGTTATCAGCATTGTGGTTTATCTAGGGAAAACCTGGTGTTTTGTTGAGTAAGCCACTTCTTTGATTCCACGCACACTCTGTTTGCTCCTACTTTTCAAGCAACAAGGAGGCCTTTGAAACCTAAGCTCATTCTTGCTCCGTGGTTGCTTGGGAAGGTGCCAGTCTGTTTAGTTCAGCCTGAGAGATGACTGTTGTGTTTATTCTCAGCATGTAATGAGTTACAGATGGGAATCAATAAAGATCAAGATGGAGAAACTTCCTGGATCCTCCTGTATTTGCTCTCCAATGTATTTCATTATAGTTTTTGAAGAGAGATCCCAAACTCATCACAAAAAACATATTCTAAAGGCAATTTTAACTAATGCTAAATTATCTGGGCCTCTGTGTCCTCAATTGGTATGAGGATTAACTACCTGAGATTTCTAAATCCATCTTTTAATGAGGAATAATTTGGATGATGATAAAAATAGCTCACATATAACAGCACTGTGCTAAATGCTTTATATGGCTCTTTTTTTCCTGTAATAACTCAAGGAGGTAGGTACTGCCATCCCTGTTTATAGATGAGGAAACCGGCAAAGAAATGCAAGTAACTTACCTACCATCATAGAGAGAGTAAATGACAACCATGGGATTTGAACCCTCTGGCTCCAGAGCCTTTGCTCTTAGCGGCACTCTATACTTACATCTGTACCATATCTATGTATATTCTATAATTATATAAGGGCACTTCAAGGAGTTCATGGCAAAATAGAATGAAAATATAATATGGAGCTTTCTATGAATTTATTTTTTCTTCCTTTTCTTTATTTTTTTCATGAATTTTTTGAAGTACATATGTGTGTGTATATGTGTATAAATATACATATATCTCCTGTAAGTATACATATATATAGTGAGAGAGAGAGAGAGAGAGCGTGCAAAAAAGAGAAAAAGCAAGAGGGCAAGAGGGGTACTCCTGAATAACTGAAAGAAGTTCAGTCTGTCTGGGTTACAGAGTAAAGAGTGAAGAGTTGCAAGAAATGAGGTTGCAAGTGATGATCAGAAAAGTAAAGAAATTTTTTTTTTATCAGTTAAGTAGTTCAGATTAAAAAAGAGCCACTGGAGAGTTTAAGAAGGGAATTCTGTGATGCCACTCTTTTGCAGACTGGAGAATAGATTGGAGGATGGAAGACCTAAGGAAAGAAATCTTTTTGGAAAGCTGTTGTGATAATTGCTGTGGAAGGTGACAATGGCCTAAAGAGGCTTGGTGAAGGATTGAACATGAGGGATGATGGCAAGGCAGTAGTCAGGGTTTTGAATGGGTTTCTGCCTTGAACCAATGGACAGATGAAGATAACATTCACTGAGGTGGGTAAAGGCAGGTTTGTAGGGAGAAGATAAGTTCAGTTTGGGTCCGTATGGAATGTACAAGTGCTCAGGAGAAAGATCTGGGTTGAAGATATACATTTGGTGGTTATTAGCATATGATTGGTAATTGAAGCTACAGGGAAGAGAATATTATTGTCCTTGGAGACAGTGTAGAAGAGTGATATAACAGAAAGAGATGCCTTAGAGGAGTCTTAGAAGGAACAGCCAGAAAGAAAAGAAGAGAACCAGGAAGCCAGCAGAAGTGAATGTTCCCAAGAGGAGAGAGTAGTCAACAATGTTGAATGATGTTGAGAGAAGTGTTCTCCATCTGGCGAAATAAGAGAGATGCTGCCAACCTTACTGGAAGTCAGACCGTTGCAGACGGAAGAGTGAATGGCAGGCGAGAAATTTAAGACAATTACGTGTAGACAACTCATTGAAGGTGGTGACCTGGGAAAGTAGGATAGAAGCTAGAGAGGAAATGTACAGCAACAGAAAGAGCTTTTCACTGGAAGTCAGACCGTTGCAGACGGAAGAGTGAATGGCAGGCGAGAAATTTAAGACAATTAGGTGTAGACAACTCATTGAAGGTGGTGACCTGGGAAAGTAGGATAGAAGCTAGAGAGGAAATGTATAGCAACAGAAAGAGCTTTTCTTTTTTTTTTTTAGTTGATGGGGTTAGAATATGTATAAGTGTTGACAGAAATGAGCAAGTAGAGAAAGAAAAATTGAAGCTGTAGGAGAGGAAATAATCAATCTATTTAATCTGTACTTTGAAGAGGTAGGAGGGAATGCAATACAGAGAAGAGACAGAGGATTTAGCCTAAGACAGGAAGAGGGACACCTGTGGAGGAAAGGAAGGGAAGAAATGTTCATAAGTTTGTTGATTTGTTAGCCAGAAATTTAAGAGGTATCTCTCTGAAAGCAGAGTGTTTGTAAAGAAATAGGTCAAGTCATCTTCTGAGAATGAAAGAAGTGGTTGTAGGATTGGGGGATTAAGGTAGGTGTAGAAATTTGAAATAGCTAGTGTAGAGAATAGAAAAGAGAAAGAACTGACTAAAAATACTGTATGGAACTGCAGGATAGTATTGAGGATTCCATTGACAGTAAAAATCATGAATGGATTTATGGTGGCACCAATATGTACAATTGTGTGATTTTTCTATAGTAGTGCTAAACAGCTTGGCCACCGAATCATTGAATCAGGGTTGTGTCTTTGCCAGGCAAACAAGATAGGACATCTAGTCGAGGAAGTTAAGTTCATTGGCAAGAGAATGGTTGGAGTCATGAACCATGAAGCCTAAGCTGCAATAGGAAGGAAGTAAAAAAAATGAAGATGCTGATAGGGAGAGAGAAGAGAAAATAAGTTAAAGAACTTGTTTCTACAAAGTTAAATAATAGATGTGGTAATAATAGAATGAGAGTCAAAAGAGTAAATCATGTCAGTGTAGGATGTTTTAGTTTGTGATTTCAGAGGAAGGATTGATCAGTTTGTTAGAATTCAGGATTAAGCTGGAAGAAAGATGTTTTAATTAAGAAAAATTTAATAAGATCATAGTACCTTGAGAAAGGTGCTTTTTGCAGGTATGTGTAGGGTCGATGGTAATGAGGAGATGCTGAACTGAAGCAGCTAAGATGCTTATTTGCATAAATGACGAATCAAGTATATGAACTGAGGATCTGAACATAGGGGAAAATAGTCTATTTTTATTTTTTTGCTTTGAAATGTAGATGGATATCTTTTCTTACTCAAAAGAGATTAAAAAAAAAAAAACCTAAATTCTGTGTCTATCCAAAGCCAAATAGTACTAAGACACTATTTAGTGAGTAGAAATCTCTAACAGCACTTTGAACAATGCCTTCATTTTAGTCAATAATAATACATATAAATTCTCCATTTTACCCTGAACTGAATTTTTGCACCTAACTTTTAAACAAGTCAATTTCATAATATAATGAAAATAATGCTCTAATAAAAGTTCTGATTAAATCCATCTTTTCTTATCTTCTGGCATGTTTTTAGTATGCATACCTAATTTACATAAAAGTTATATATTATTTTCTGGCATTTGGTATATTTCTTTCTAGTCTTTTTTGACTGGGAATGTACTTGTATGGTTGTAGTTAACAGAATTTTCACATTTATACCTGCTTTCTCATTTAATGCCACAACATAAATATTTTGTCTTTACAAGCATCATTTAGGGTGACTGCATAATATTCTGTCATTTTCTTTCCTTTTAGTTTTGTTTTAAAAGCATATCATTTCCATCATTTCAATTTTCTGTGTGCTTACTTATGCTTTGATCTCAAACACAGATGGGTGTGGATGGATATAAAATAAAAGCATAAAAGCTCCTGGAAGGAGAGTCCCTGGTTTGAATATGTATATAGAACAGACACTGTGAAAGGAAGTCTTCTTTCATGTTTTGTTTTTTCCCATGGGGATTGACATTTTTAGCAAATTAGTTGCCTATAATTTTTTAAAAATCAAGGGATTTTTACATAAAGATTCAGATTTATCTCTTGAAAAAAAAAATCAGTCTGTCAATACTACAACCTGTGGCTACACATGGTGACTGATGGATTAGATGTTAACTGTCCCTTCTAGACACTTTTTCATCACCATGCCTTCCACTGAATGCTTCCAACACTTGTATTACTTGCCAGCCACCTGTGGGTCATTTGATTTCTACAGTTGACTAATGTAAAATGAAAGATAAATGAATGATTATTTCCTCTATAAAAGCTGGAGTTGTGCTGGCCAGTTAGCTCAGTTGGTTAGAGTGTGGTATTGCTAACACCAAGGTCAAAAGGTCAAGGGTTCAGATCCTGGAACTGTCCCTCCACCAAAATAAAAATCTATCTATCTGCTCAATATATTTTGTAAAAAGAAAAAAAAAAAAAGCTGGAGATGTCACTTTTCAGTTAGCCACATGTGACTAACCTATTGTCTGTGTTAAACTTCTTTTGAGATGGACTTTCCTATCATCTAGCGCTGGGAAAAGAATACAATTTTAGCATTTGTTAAAGTCAAACAGATTTAGAAAGTTAAATCTGCTCCTGGATCACATAGAACATTTCAAAACAAAGTCCAGAAGATCTAATTGCTTCATATCAACTACTTGCACCTTTATTCCCCTCTGTTAGATGAAATTAAGAGCCAAATGCTCTGTAGTTCACTGTAAGTATAGTTTTGTTAATTTACTCACTCCTGGGCTAAATGCTGACATTAAAGAAAAATGGAAGATGTTTGCAGACAAATGTGTTTTGTGAATCACTTGGGATTGCCATTATTGATGCCATGTCTCTTGCTTAATTAAAAAGAAATCATAGAATGAGCTACTTCCTTATACTCATACAGGCCTGGTTTTAATGAGAGTCATAGTTGTTTTGTGTCAATGAAGAGCTTTGTCTTTTGGGGAAGGTTATATGGAGAAAGTATCCCCGTTAAAGGATCCATGACAAAAAAGTATCTTGGGGTGTATCTGAAGCTTTAATTTGATCATAACAAGATTTTTCATTTTCTTTGTAGGTGAAAGTAAATAATGATTTTAATTATGAATTTTACAACAGCAGTTGGTCTTATGTAAAACGTACGTCGACAGAACATGCATCATTTAGCAGGAAGCGTTCCTTCTTCACGTCTGCGTCCTCTTTTTCACATCGGTATACGTCAAGTGCCAGTGAAATCCATAAGGAAAAGGTTAGTATAAATTATCAGCTAACTTTTCCATATTTTACTGGTTGTAAGTATTGCTAACATTAACAAAAGTGTATTTACTAATAGGATCAGTCTTCATTTTTAAATTAGGGCAATAGTATCTCCTTTAAGAGAAAATACAATATATTTCTTTAAAAGTACAATGTTGTTTTGTAAATTCTCTTTGAAAATTTATGTATTTATACTTTTTTATCTTCTCATTAAAGTGTTTGTTCTTATTTGAAAATCTTTTAAAAAAGCTATTACCAGTTGGCCGGTTAGCTCAGCTGGTTAGTGTGCAGTGTTGATAACATCAAGGTCAAGGGTTCAGATCCCTGAACCAGCCAGCCGCCAAAAACAAAAATAAAAAACTTATGACCTTGAAATCTTCTATTTTAAACTATCCTAAATTTCTCATTCATGTTTACTGATGCCACTATTTTAAGTGCTATATACAATTTTTAAAAATCCGATTGATGCTTGTATGTGCTTTTTAAATGCTAATGCTAGAGTCTTTTTATAAGGTGTGTGAAGCTAAAAGATTTTTAAAATGCTTAATTACTTCTGAGACACCAAAATTTTCATCTGAGGAAGTTAAAAGCCTTATTTTTTTTTATTTTTAAAATGCTTAATTACTTCTGAGACACCAAAATTTTCATCTGAGGAAGTTAAAAGCCTTATTTATTTTTATTTTTATTTTTTTTTCCTTTTTGTCTTTTTTCGTGACTGGTAACGGGATCGCAACCCTCAGTGTCGCGCCTGTACCGGGATCGGCAGCGGGATCGCAACCCTCGGTGTCGTGCCCGCACCGCGCTCAACCAGTGAGCGGACCGGTCTCTATATGGAATCCGAACCCTCGGCGGGAGCGCCGCCGTGCTCCCAAGCGCCGCACTCTACCGAGTGTGCCACCGGGCTGGCCCTAAAAGCCTTATTTTTTAAAAACTTTGTTTTGAGATGCCAAAAATTTCATCTTAGGAAACCTGAACAGTTGAGATGAATTGTACTAATGGATTTGCACTTACTTTTGAAGAATTTCTCAAGTTGATCATTATTCACAATCTGTGTATTTCATTTCATTCTTAAAGTCAGCAACTTGATTAATAAACCACATAAGGGAAGTATAACAAAGATTGATTTTATTTGTTTAATGAATAAGAAACTGAATGTGGAACTATAAGTCATTGTCAAGATGTGGATCCTAGGAACACGTTATTTTACATACTTATTTGTGAAATCATTTAGCAGTTGGTGAAACTGATTCTCTTTTTCTAGTTGAGGAAGGCTTAATAACTTGGTATTGGGGTTTTAAAGGTTATGCATAAAAGAAATTACCATTGTATCATTTATATTATTCCTATTTGGGACTCCAAAAATTCCTAAGATTGCTTCAAGAAGATGGGCCCAGAGGAGACCTCATCATGAATCAGAAATAAAAATTCATATAGTCTGGGTTGATTGGGGGTGGCAGTTGATGGAAACATTGGACAGGGAACTATTTCCATTGCCTTTTTATCTTCCACCTAAAACCCCTTTTACTCTTTCATCTCTTCATAGAGTTATCAATTGTTGGTTATTCAGAATGCTGTTGAAGTGGCTCAGTTCATCAATAACAACCCAGAATTTTTACATCTTGCTGAGCCATTTTGGAAGGAACTCTCCCACCTTCCCTCTCTGTATGACTATAGTGCCTACCGAAGACTAATCGACCAGTACGGGACGCATTATCTGCAGTCTGGGTCTTTAGGAGGAGAATACATAGTTCTATTTTACGTGGATGCAGAAAAATTCAAACAAAGTGGTACAGTATTAAAAAATTGTTATCTGAAAGTATTTCAAGGATTTCAATGGAAAAATAACACGTAGTTTACTCAAACTTCTGAGCTTTAAAATTTGACAAATATAGATTTAATTTGCAAAGTAGTCCAGAATTGCAAAGGATCCATTATACTCTATTTACATTCTTTGAGAAAAGCCTGCCTATTCTTTGGCTAGTACCCTGTATTAAACCGTTATCACTATTGGCTATCTCCAGACGGTATTGGCTGAGTTTTTAGAATACATTTTAATCTTTCTCATTTCTCAGAATAAACAATATTTTGGAGGAAAACTAAATGAGGAATTTGCTGACATACCAAAAATTTTAAAAGTATTTTATTTACCTCTGTTCTTTACCACTCACATTCCTTTAAAGGAATCTGCTCTGAATATCACAGGTTTGCTTACTACCTAATATTTGTATCAATAGCTTGAATTTATTGATGCCTTCCTCACGGCAAGTGAGTTACATATATTAGCAACAATCCTCAGTACCACCCAATGAAATGGGCACTATACTGCGTGTCCTGCAGATGGAGAAATAGAGACTCAGTGCTATTAGGAGACTCATCCAAGGTCACATAGATTGAAAGGAGGGTATTTAAACATGGGCCTAACTGGCTTCAAAGTCAGTTTATCTTATTCCTTATGCTGTGTTCTGCTAAAATTGCCTGATTTTTGTTAGAATCAGGACATGCTACTGAATTCATGCTTTGTTGACTTCCCATCCAGAGGAGAATCTCAGATGTGGGGGCGGGGAGGAAGTGGGGCCTTACTGTTTCAAGTCAAACATTCTCCATTCCTAACTTGGTCCTTTAGCTGATGTCTACACTTCCTCCTCCATTCCAAATCACCTCTTCAATGTCTTTCTCTTCAGTAAAGAATCTGTTATAACCATGGAGGAGAATAAAACATCTTACCTGAGATTCAGAAGAGGCCCTGTAGCTTTTTCTTATGGGTGAAGTATAATCATTTCTGTTTTCATTGGTCAGGGCGCTACCAGATAACAAATTAACTAGAATTTGGACTTTTCTAACCTCCTAGGTTGGAAATGAGTATACAAGCACAGGTTTTTGTAGCAAAGACAGAGGCACTATTTCTTTGGGCAATCAATCCAGCAAGTAGCTTGACCTAAACTCAGTTTCAACTCTCCCCCTTCTTGTAGGATCTAAACAAATGGAGAGATTTAAAAACAAAACAAAACTTTCCAAGTTGGTAAAATTATATTTTTTTGAGTAAAAATTTTACTCTTGGGCAGTTTATGTTCTTCCTAAAATTTTAATTCATATATAATGAAAACTTCTGGGATATAATATATGCCCCTAATTGTTCTTTAAGAAATATTTAGGCTATTCTAATAAAGTTAGTGAAATTATACAGTATGAGGCAAATATATTTCTACACTTTATTTTCTATCTTACTTTTAAAAAAACACTGTCAAACTCCATTTGATAATAAGTAGAAATTGTCACATTCTAAGGTTATAAGTCATGGGAAGAAAGTATTAGGAACCACGGGTGTTAAAGATGGAAAAACTGAACTAGGGTTTTAGGAATTAATTACTGTGGAACCAGAACCCAGCTTTTACAGTCTCCAGCAGGGGGGCTGAAAGTCATCGTACTCCTACATTTATTTGTTTGTTTTATGCCTAAGAAGCTGACTGGATGGATAAAAGTGAATGGATAAAAGATATTACTCTTTGAGGTGTTCAATTTCTGTTTTATGTAGAAATCACTCCCACCTCCTCTCCTCTCTGGCCAAAGCTAATAGAAGGAAAGTAACAAAAGTCAAATATCACTGTTTTGAACTTTGACCCTTCTAGAACAATTGAAAATATAAATGTCATGTCACTCTTGATTAGATGGCCACAGTGGCAGGAAAACACCCTCTTTTCCTCATTCCCATACCTAGCTGCATCTCAAAGGAGGTCCTCAATGCAGAAATTAAGCAAGACTCTTACATTTTTACCCCAGGTCTGGATTCAGAGAAGAAATGTATTTCCTCAGATTTCCATTTCATCTTTACATTATCAAAGAAGAAATGCAAGAATCTGGAAGAGGCTTTAAAGTTGGCTTCAGGTAAATGGGAGGGAAGCAATTTGCATTACAAGCTTAATATCTATCCCTCTATCGTGTGGTTAATTCTTGGTCTCCAAGAGCTTTTGAAGCTTTAGCAGGTATTCTACTTTGGATTTTTTCATCTATCTGGTTATTTTTGCCTGGGGTCTCTCTTTCATATGTTATAGCAATAAGACATCACACAGGGTGGGGGGGTTCACTGGGTATCTCCTCTTTATTGTAAATATGTTCTCAGTGTACACCATCTTCCTCCCTATGATGGCTGGCAAACAAGCCTAAAAAAGTGACGATATCAAGGGAAGGTTCACTTCCGTTCTGTGACACGGATACTCAGCAGTTAAGGTTTTTGGTGCATGCTAGTGGTGGTGGTGAAGGAAAGGAAGGTGCCATGCTAGTCATTGAGTGATTGGAGAAGGAGCTGGAAGGGCAAACTGATCTAGACTATGAAATTAGCATGTTAAGGAGTTTTTATTTTGTCCTAATGGCTATGGGATAGCATAAAAGATTTAATACAGGGAGTGATGAAGTGAAAGCTTACATAAGTAAATGTGTAGAGAAAGAAGAGGGATGAAGAAGGAATGGTCTGATAAGAGAAGAAACAGAAAAAGTGGAAACTAAAGGAGGAGAGAGAGGTCAACAGAGTGAAATGCTAGAGAAAAGGTAAGTAAGATGAGGACTGACAACATCCATTGGATTCGGTGATTAAGACAATTGCTGTAAAAGGAGGAGATTCTGTGGTGTGGTAGAGATAAAATGGGACTGCAGTGAATTGTGTGAGGCCATATACTGAGCAGTACTAGAACTTCAATCTTTCTGGGGTGATAGCAGAAATTGGGGCAAAGGCAAAGTGTCACCTAAGTGTCACGGTTCTCAGCCAGAAAGCAGGGATTCTTAGGATATTCGTAGTTGACTGCAAGGAGGGAGACAGAGTAGTAAAACCAGGTTTATGTACTCATTTACTTCATTCATTGACTTTATAGAGTCCACAGTATGAGCCAGGAATTGTTTTAGGTACTGGGGATACAGCAGTAAATATGCCAGAAAACGTGCTTGACTTCACAGAGTTGACACAACAAAGTAGGACACGTTTTTGAATAAGTTGAAAAAATAAATGATCTGGACACTGAAATGAAAGTAGAAGCTTTGGGTAAATGTTGTCATCAATCATCAGCTGGGCTGGTGATTGAAAACTATTCACAGATTTTATTTTATTTTGTTTTTAACAAACACGGAGCACCTACTATGTGTCCAGCACAATTTTAAGTGATTTACAAAAATTAGCTAATATTTTCCTCCTACCTAAGCATTAGATATTATTCATGTTCCCATTTTACAGACAGAAACACTGAGGTACAGAAAGGTTACCCAAGATCATACTTAGTAAGAATCAGACATGAAATCTGCTTATTCACTGTCACATTGGACTGCCTTTTCTAGTGGTAAAGAGTTAGCTCGAGGACAGAGCACATGGATGGAGAGGAAGGCTACAGGTTTAAAAGTAACAAAAAATGAATTTCCTAGAATCTGTCATTCTTAAGCAGATGTGTCTGTTAAGACAGTGTATTGGTCTGTTTCTGTTGCTTATAATGGAATACCTGAAACTATGTAATTTATAGAGAAATACAATTTATTTCTTACAATTCCAGAGGCTGGGAAGTCCACAGTCAAGTGGGTGCATCTGGTGAGGATCTTTTTCTTGTGTATCACAACACAGGGTATCACATTGCAAATGGGATGAGCAAGAAAGCTCACCTGCTCACTCCCTCTCTGTGTAAAGCCAGCAGAACCACATCCATGACCCCCCATTAAGCCATCAATGAATTAATCCATTCACAAAGATACAGTCCTTACAATCTAATCAACTCTTAAAGGTCCCACCTTTCAATTACTGTAATAGGATTTCCCACCCTCTTAACACTGTTACAGTGGGGATCAAGGCTCCAACACATGAACCTTTGGGGGATGCATTCAACTGACAGCAGGCAGTGATTGTCAAACTTCAGTATGCATGAGGATTACCTGGGGAAGTCTGTTTAAATACTGGTTCCAAGGCTTATTCTCTTAGGTATTCTCTCACAGGTCTTGGGTGATGCTCAGAAATTTGCAGTCATCCCAGATGATTCTGATTCAGTAGTTCAGGGACTGGTCTTTGTGATATACTACCCTAAAAGGGTGACTATTTATATATTAAAAACATAACTAACAATGAAAATGAGGAAGCACTCTGGCAATTTATTAAAAATATCAGGCTTTAATAATTTATGATTATTAAAGTACAATATGCTCATTTTGTGAAATCGCAAAATTTGGACAATTACAAGAAAGGACATGGGAATCACTCAGAATCTGATTTGTGAGAATAGGAATTTCTAGTCATGACCTGTGTAAATATCAATTACAGATGGAGATAAAAATATTTCTGAAATTTTGAGGCATATAAATGGAAAAAGGGATTCAATTAGCATTCAAATTTTTCAGAACAGTTTCCATGTCTTAGATAATGTATTCCTGTTAATTAACAGCTTTTTTTGCTTATTATTAGTATACCAGATGCAATGAACTGTTTTTCCTTCAACATTTTATTATGAAAAATTTTTTATGTTGTATTTTTTTATTTTAACATTTACTTGTACATATTTGTGGAGTACAGTGTGTTGTTTCAGTACATGCATATACTGCACAGTGATTCACATAGGGCAGACAGCATAGCTTTGTTAGTCCACCACTTCTCTCTCCTCCCTGCCCCTGCTCAAGCTAATTAACATATATATTACTTCACATACTTAGCATTTTTTTTGTGATGAGGACACTAAAATTTACTGTCAGCAATTTTCAAGAATACAATACATTGGTATTAATTGCAGTCACCATGGTTTACAAAAGATCTCTTGAACTTATTCTTCTTGTGTAACTGAAATTTTGTTTCTTTTGACCAACATCTCCATCTCACTCTCTCCTGCCTCTGGTAACTACCATTTTACTCTCTGCTTGTATGAGTTCCATTTTTTTAGATTCCACGTGTAAGTGAGACCATGTGGTATCTGTGTTTCTGTGCCTGACTTAACTACGCTTAACAGGATTGTGTCCAGTTCCATTCATGTTGCTGCAAATGACAGGATATCATTTCTTTCAATAGCTGAATAGTATTCCACTGTGTATATATATATACCGCAGTGTTTTTATTCGTTGATGGGCATTTAGGTTGATTCCATCTCTTGGCTACTATGAACAGTGCTGTGATAAACATGGGAGTGCAGGTGTCTTTTTGATATCCTGATTTCATTTGTTCGGGTATATACCCAGAAGTGGGACAGCTGATTATAAGGTAGATCTATTTTCAGTGCTTTGAGGAACTAAAAAATTTTAAATACGTAGAAAAGTTGAAAGAACATAGTAATAAACACCCATATACCCCCCTCCTGTATACAATTATTGTTTTGACATATTGCTATATATATCTACATGTTATATTTATAATATTGGCTTATTATTTAGCAATATATAAATATTATATATTTAAAATGTTTTTAATATTTGGTGAACCACTTGAAAGTAAGTTTCAGACATCATGATACTTCATCCCTAAATATATGCATGTGTCTTCTAAGAAGGACATTCTCCTGTACAACGTGATAATCCTGTTACATTAAAAAATTATAAACATGTACAATAACACTAATGTCATCTACTGGTAGGCAATGGATTTTTTAAAAATTGATCTTATTTTTTGAAGTGGTTTTAGGTTCACAGCACAACTGAGTCAAAAGTAAAGACAGTTCCCATATACCCCTGCCACCCCACAGGTGCAAAGCCTTTCCCACTGTCGACATCCCCCACCAAAGTGAAACATTTGTCACAATTGTTGGATCTACACTGACACATCATTATTACCCTAAGTCCATAATTTACATTAGAGTTCACTCTTGGAGTTGTACATTTTGTGAATTTTGACAAATGCATAATGACATGTATCCATCATCACAATATTATGCAGAGTAGCTTCATTGCCCTAAAAACCCTCTGTGCTCTGTGTATTCATCCCTCCTCTCACCTGGCCACTACTCACCTTTTTACTGTCTCTCTAGTTTTGTGTTTTCCAGAATATCATACAATTTGGTGAATTCTTTTTTAGTACCTGACGGACTTCTCACTTTTATGTTCTCATTTTCATTTGTTTGTGCATCCTGACTTATTTCATTTGATTTCTCCTGTGTAGGAACCCAGAACAGTGTGTTGCGAGGGTACCCATTTGTCAGAGGGGGAAGTTCAGGCTTCATATCCAACCTTAGTTTCCTAGAGCTGGACAATCCTGCTGGAAACAAAAGGCGATATTCTGCCTGGGCAGAATCTGTGACTAACCTTCCCCAAGTCATAAAACAAAAGGTATGTGATGCTCTGTTTAAAGCAGTAAGAAGCAGTCGTGTTTATTTGCATTGGGAAAATGAGATTAAGTCAAGGTGGTTAAACAGAGTGCTACAATTAGCATTTTCTGTATCCCAATTTTGTTTTTGTGAGGTAAAATGAATGCATACATAATAACAAGAAACAGAAGTTGCATCATCTGGTATGTTCATATTTCAGTTGTAAAGGTTAAGTGTCTTGTAAATCCCAAGAGTAATTAATGACAACATTTGCATTTTTAACTTTTGAACTAAATTTGATTATGTTTTCCTTGATCCTTAATTCAGAGGAGTTACAGATTCTTACATGAAGAAAGCAGTTAGACTGGCCTAATATTACATTTGTTAGATCTTTCTGGGACCTTTCTTCCTGTGGTCAGGGCTCATCAGCTCCCAAATTCATGCAAATCAAGATAGCAACAAATTGTTTGGCAGAACTTTAGGATGTTTTATGGATGTAGTCAGTTATTTTATAATGCAACATATGTGTTCCTAGAAATCACTGAGCTATGCAAAATTGCACAATATAGACCACAGGGCTGATGGAAAGCAAGGGGTTAGGGATACAGCACTCAAGCACATCATCTGTGACACTGGTAATAAAAAGATAGACACTGATTAAAAACAGTAGTATGGTTTTATGCATGTTAAATTATTAAGAAATGCATATATACTACAATAAATGTGGCACATTATCTAGAAAAAGGCCTGAAGTTTGCTGGATGATGGAAGGAATATAGCTGTGAGTTATCATGAAGTGGTAGAAGGAGAGCAATCAGAAAGCTGACAGTTCTAACACCACATGTGGTTGGGGTAGTTTATACCAAATGCAGTGGACTGACAGAGATGGTCGATGGGTTTGTGTGTGTGTCTTTGTGTGTGTGTGCATGGGCACGTTTTGTGTATTCCTATGTGATTTCATTCAGCTGTGTGTAGTTTTCTGTTTTTACTCTGTGTTTTTTATGGATGCAATTGTACATAAGAAAATGCAAAATTTTCAATATGCCCCAATTCTTTCCTTCTTTCTTTTTTTTTTTTTTTTTTTTTTGTGACTGGTAAGGGGATCGCAACCCTTGTCTTGGGGTCGCCCGCACCGCGCTCAGCCAGTGAGTGCACCGGCCATCCCTATATAGGATCCGAACCTGCAGCCTCTGTGCTCCCAGTGCCGCTGTGCTCCCAGTGCCGCACTCTCTCTAGTGAGCCACGGGGTCAGCCCCAATTCTTTCTTAATATATCAATCTCAATGAAACAAATTTATATTTTCCAAAACAAATGTTATAGCAGAACTGATTCTATGATCTATTTCTTGCCATGAAATCAAACAAGGTCCCAGGAAAAAACTGATTTTCAGAGATTAAGAGACTTGGACACACTTTACAAGCTCAAAAAAATGACAATAGTTTCTCAGTCGGATACCCTCCTAACTCCATACTGTACCTCCTTGGCTCCAAATAAGAATGAGGGTGGGAGGGTTTTTCCTAGAAAGTTTTGTCTTTAAGTGTCATCTGTTAATATTCAAAATGGCCTATATTCATTGTCAGTGTCCCATACAAATCTTTAAAAAACTTAAATTGTTGATTAGGGAAAAACAGATATTCTTTTACATTCTCAACTATGCACTTTTCCACATAGGACTGTGAGCTCTCATAGTTGTGCTAACCTATTATTCTTCAGGAAAGGAACAGAGGAAGAAAGACATTGTAAGGTATATAGCCATAGAGCTATCCTGCTCAGAAGAGCTTGGGCTCTCAAGAACAAATGGTACATATCTCTTCTTCTCTTGTCTGAGCTTAGTGACATCATGGTGGTGGCTTGAAATCAGCCATGGTGAGAGCAGCTACACTGTAGAAATTGGCAAGTGCTACAAAGTGGAGCCTTTTTGTTCCTGGGAAATCAGTTTGTTAAAGCTCAGCCAGCACATGTGCGATCTCAATGTGGCTTTCCATCTGAGAGGGATTAGGGTAGCAATCACAACATTTTAACCTATTATTACCCATACGAATATACTCATGAATTACTTTATTAAATAAATTTCTAATTATGTCATGTAAGGAAGGTCATGGGAAAATATTATGCAAATTAGTTTACTTTTGGTGTATGTGATATTGAAAAATGGGTGTGGAGCAGGCGGGGGAAGAGGGATGTGGGTCACACAAGAGTGCCAACAGGTAAGGAGCAGCAAATACACCCATCTATTACCAGAATGCAATGCTTTGGGGGGGACGGTTTCTGAGATCACTTTCTAACGAGGAAAACAGGGCTAGTGGTACAGGTTCTCTCTTGCCTCCCCCAAGGGAGGGGGAAATATTGAAAGAACTGTGAATCTTAAGTAGGCTTTGAGTGAAAAAGTGGCCAGCGTGGGTTGAGGAACCCTGTAGGCTGGAGAAGGATGCTGAAAGGAGGTAAAACTGGTGACTTAAGAGCAGTTCTCCAGCTCATGCATTTCCTCATTTTGTACAGTGCCAGCCCTGGGGTTAGCCCAGGAGCACCCAGTAGGTTATGTTATCCTTGTACCAAGTCAATGCTTTAACTATAGGAATGGACTTGCCTTATTGAGAGACTGTTGGGTGTTGAAAAGAGCCGAGACTCAACCAGAAGACTGGTCTACTGTGTGGACGTGGCTCTTGGCAGCCAGACAGCATTGGGCATGACACTTTAACTACTTTGTCTTAGACTCCACATCTATTAAATGGGAATGGTAACAGACCTTCTGCTCACCTCCATTTATTGTTGTGAGAAGTAATACAATGTACATGAAAGTGCTTTGAAACAGTAGTAAAATAATAAATAAATTTAAGATTATTGCAAGAAGTTTGCAAATGCTGCCTTAATATGGTCATTCCTAGTTAATGTGTAGAGCCATTCTGGCCATTGTAGAAGACATCAGTGATCAGAGTGAAGGTAATCAATCTCCAGAATCCTCCCTTCCTCCAATAAACATGTTAGCAGGAAGCAGCGCACTAAGCTCTGAAGTTCTCCTTTCCGAGAACTTATTATTGAACAACTTCTCTCTTATCTACAGGAGGGGTTGATGGACATTGGAGTTGCTGGTCGTCTTGGAGCTCGTGTGTTCAAGGGAAGAAAACAAGGAGCCGAGAATGCAATAACCCACCTCCCAGTGGGGGTGGCAAATCCTGCGTTGGAGAAACAACAGAAAGCAGGCAATGCGAAGATGAAGAGCTGGAGCATTTGCGGTAATGGAGACTAGACCTCCGGCAGTTAAGTAGAACACAGTGCCCTCTGCAGGAAGCGTGGATTCATGATTGCGTCCACTGAAAGCTTTAGAAGTTAAAAGGAGATTTCCATCAGTAGCACTGGGGCTAGTGAAGAAAGGAGGCATGTCCTGGCCACCTTGTGCTGTGTGCTTCAGGTTTTCCTGAAACAAGCTGGGTAACTGGGAGCAGTCCAGCTGTGTGGATACGAGCAGTGGCTTTGGCATCAAGCAGATCTGCCTCCTTCTTGCTGTGTGTCCTTGGGCAAGTACTTGCCACACCTCTAAAATTAGAATAATACAGTAATAGTAGGTAAATCAATTATAGGACGTTGTCAGCATGTAAAGTGATTAGTACAGCGCCTGGCACATAGTAAGCATTCAATAAATGTTGTATTACTTTTCAGATATACCACTCCCTCTTGTTTATTTTTTGGATTAAGCATAAAGCCAGATGCTTGAGATGGATAAAAAGCTCTTTTAGAAATGCTTAGTTGATCCAATCTTATCCTTGGGTCAGAATATTTTGTGCCCTACCCCAGTGTTTTAAACTGTCCTTATTAACCTCTTCTTTTTTTTTTTTTTAAAGATGACCGGTAAGGGGATCTTTATTTTGTGCCCTACCCCAGTGTTTTAAACTGTCCTTATTAACCTCTTCTTTTTTTTTTTTTTTAAAGATGACCGGTAAGGGGATCTTTACCCTTGACGTGGTGTTGTCAGCACCACGCTCACCCAGTGAGCTGACCGGCCATCCCTATATGGGATCCGAACCCGGGGCCTTGGTGTTATCAGCACTGCGCTCTCCCGAGTGAGCCACGAGCCGGCCCCTTATTAACCTCTTCTAATCAGGAACTTGGCAGAAAGTTCTAGTATGATAATTTGAAGGTCATGTGAGTCAAAGAAAGAGGTGAGGTTCTTGGGTATCTTGTAGAAGCATAGAGAAGTGGGGTGCCTTATTTCCAGGTCTTTGGTGATTTGTAATGTGACAATAATCAATACTTGCATGGAGGAAGCTGGTAAACAGATGGGTTATGGTGGGAAAGGAAGGCTGGCTTCAGCTCATGTGTGTCTCTGGGAGCCTGAGGGTCTGGGAGGAGGTCTCTGCCTGAGTGGACATATTTCCCCTGCCTTTAGACATAAAGCTGAAGAAAGGGGAGCATCCTAAGGAAGGCATTAAGGAGATTTTCACTCTGCTTGGTGCTTAGAGGAGAAGTAGTCTCCTCCTCAGTACAAACAGGAAAATTATGATCAGTGCTTCACATTTCTGGGCTTTCTCAGAGTGCAGCAAGAGTGCAAGGAACTCAGCTGAGAAGGAGGCAGCATTCACAGGCTATCTGTACTGCTTCCCCTCAGATTTCGTGTCTCTGGAGTAGAAATAATACTGGTGGTATATTGACCTCAGAAGCACAGTTGAAAAACCACTGTTTAATGATGGTTGTCAGCATTATCATTCTCATTATTATGAGCTCCCCACAGAGAGGTCACGGTGAGGCTAAGGTGTCAGGACTGGCAATGGTGAGATGATGTGAAGGCTTCCGCTTCCTCGTTTCCCTTTTAGGCTTAGGATTCCTGCCCCAAACCTTAACAAAAGTTGCTTTCACTAAAGAATATACTATCAGTTGTATATACCTCAGAAAAAATGTAGACACCGTGAGTCCCTACTCTCTCTTATTGCTTTGTGAGTGGAAGCAAGATTGTGATTATAGAAGCCTAACCGACTGTACATGAATCCAGCCCCGGTATTTGTTAGATTTTTCAAACTTTCTGTGACTTTATTATTCTCCGTGTATCTCACAGGGTTGCTGTGAGTATGAATTGAGATCATGTACATATGTAGAGAAACTGCCATGGTGCCTGGTGCATAGTAAATGCTCAATAAAAGGTAGTTATTATATTGCATGTTATAAGGAAAAGGCAGTATATTTATACAGTGGAACACCATAAAAAAGAATGAAGGACTGCCATTTGCAGCAACATGGATGAACTTAGAGAAAATGATGTTAAGTGAAATAAGCCAGGCGCAGGAAGAGAAATACCATATGTCCTCACTTATATGTAGGAGTTAAAAAAATAAAAAAAATATAGTTTTGTGTTATCTTTCACTAACTCTAATAACCTTATTTTTAATACAGAATTAATTCTGTGTTAAAGGAGTTTCAGAACCAAACAGCAGGAGGAAAAACTAGGTTCTGACACAGGTGACCTCTAGAAATCATAAAAAGTATGCGTGGTGTCTAAAGACTTTTATTTATTTTTCTTTTCTTTCTTTTTGTTTGTTTTTATCCTACTGACCTAGTAGCTATTTAAATCACTGTCTTTTGGTAGCTTTAGTTTATGCTTTTCTACCACAGGATGTGGTCATATATTTGGTTCTGAGAATGACAAAAATATCACATCAATGTACTTACGTGAATGGAGTCCCTTCAGATGCAAAGGGAAAATTCAGTGTAGTGCAAAATATTTATTAAACTGTGGAAATCAATCACATTAATCATGGTTTGTTTCATTTTTCTTTCAGATTGATTGAACCACATTGCTTTCCTTTGTCTTTGGTTCCAACACAATTCTGTCCATCACCTCCTGTCCTGAAAGATGGATTCGTTCAAGTTGGTTATGAAAGATATTTTTTCCTTTACAATACTCCAAGTTCTATCTCTGCTAAGGCCATAATCTGTTTTCTTCTTCCAGGGTGACAAAATGCTAAAAATATTTTACACACACATTTTAGTCTTAGTGGTGAGGGTTTTAGTTTGTGACTTTTTTCCTTTGGCCCAAGGTGATTAGAATTCTGCAGAAGGCAATATAACTTCTGTGGTGCGGGAAATCAATACTGACACCCAATGAATTAGAAATGTAATCATGCCAGAGGGCTACTAAACATTGCTACTCTGAACATTAAAATACAAGTCTGCAAGCAATTTCTTCAACTTAGAGAACCTTCCTTATTCTTGCCATTGAGAGAAATCTTTTTTCTTTTTCTTCCTATAAATACCGGGTTTGGGATGAAGGATTAGATTTATTCCAGGAATCAATAAGACATTTAGCCATTGTCCAGAGAGGTGTGGTTCATGGTACTCTGAGCAATTTTCTTGTTCAGGAAGGAACACTAGTCATCTGCCATCTATCATTCCAGGGAGTTTTCCTGACTTTGGGGCTGTATTAATTAGTGCTGTTCTCAGTCCTTGCTGTAATGAAGCCTTGCCTCAACCCCAGATGAGGAATCTTCATGGTTTATACAGGACGTATTGTTCATGAAGACTCTGTCAAAGCTGCCAGCCTTTCTTTCTCCATGAGGGATTTTGCTTTTCAAATTCCAGGCCTTTGAGCACATACTCACTGAGAGTTTGCTGAAGTTTCCCCAAGCGTAGGTATTGTTAAGAGATGGAAGTGGTGTGTGTGTGTGTGTGTGCGCGCGCGTGCGCATGCACGTGCGCACATTTTGTACAGAGAGGGGGAGAGGGAGAAAGAGAGAATGAGCCCAGCACCTCTAACACCCATACTGTCCCACTGAGGTCACCACAGTCCATGGAGTTTCTGAATGAAATATATGCTCAGAGAATGAGCCAAGTTAATTCATATATTTTAGCAAACAATGAGCTGTTACCCCAAACTCCAGTGCATGTGGTGCCCTTTTAGGAGCCAGGGATTTTAAATACTGCCTATGGGCTGGCTACATTGGAGTCACCCAGGGAACTTAAAAGTAGAGATTGCTGCTTGTCCCTTATCTTCAACTTTTTCTGATTCCATAGGTTTGGGGTAGAGCCTGAGAATCTATTTTTTTTAATTATGACAAGTGGTTCTGATATAGAGCCAAGTTTAGACACTGTCGAGTTAGTCTTTTTGGTATAGAAGTCCCTTTTGCAAGGTAGCGGAAGGCCCAGGGGCTGGAATCAAAGCAGAACACCTGCCCTTCGCCGTTTTCTTCAAACTTTGACATCAATCTGGGCCCTGTTTCCTACCAACTTCCACGATGGAGCCAGACTGGGCCAGGGAGAGCAAGACTGACAATGAGAAGAAAGAAGTACCAGGAAATTTTGTTCTAATCCCTAGAGCAGAGCTGATTTAGCACAGCTCGAAGTCCTCTCCCAGGCCTGAGTTTTTTTCACCATCCTCTTGCGTGGCCCAGAACCAGAAGGGTGAGGAAAGGGACTAAGAGAAACCCCAGATGAACATAATTACCCCCTCACAGCCACAGTCTTCCAATTCTTGCTTACTTCACCATGAAAGCTCATCTCCTGGCATTATAGGCTAATGAAATATCCTTGAATCTGATCTAGCCCCAGCAATATTTCCATAGTTATAGGGTAGAGATGAAGGGTAGGGTGGGAGAAAATCAACATTATGCTTTCACTAAAAGTTATTGGTGAGAAACTTCAACTTTCATGAACATGTTGATAGGATTTGAGCACTTATGGGTATTCATGCTGGCATTTTTGAAGCAGTATTGCCAATGAACAGCCCATGATACCTTGATATGAAGAGTTTGCTGACAATGGCATTTCCAAAATCGACAACAAACTGTCTTTTTCAAAATTAAAAGGGAAAGAAGTTACTTAGACAGTGTCCACTAGAGTAATTTTAGTAAAATACTTAGTACAGTGCTTGTTATTTTAGGAGTAATCAATACATTATAGTATAGTAGCATTAATGGCCTTATTAATCAAGGTACTAATCTTATTGGCTGGGAGCATGCAGGAAAAAATATTTTTATAGGCAATTTTCTAAATCAGTTATTTGAATTTAGATTGCTTGATGATTAAAAGAAGATATGATTTATTGGCCATATATACCTAAAGAAATATTTTGTTAATGAAAAATAGACAGGTGCTTCTTCTCTCAATCTCTTATTTGTGTTTAGGATGAAGGTGCCATGTTTCCTGTTGGGAAAAATATAGTATACACTTGCAATGAAGGATATTCTCTTATTGGAGACCCTGTTGTCAGATGTGGAGAAGACTTACAGTGGCTTGTTGGGGAAATGCAGTGTCAGAGTAAGTGGCCTTGGTTGTAGTATGTAACTTGAGATGAGAGAATAACGCGGAAGAGAATGAATCAAGATAAATAACCACTCCCCATAGGTCGCATGTCTTGACCTCCCTTTCCTGAAAGGCTGACGTGATTCTGTCCAAGTTTCAGGAGTGACTTGAATAAGCCCTCAGCCTTCTCTAGTTGCTAGTCCTGACCATTATGTTCTCAAAAATTGCTTCTGTCCTATTCTTGCTCACTTCTCCTCATGAGATGCAAAGTACACATTTTTAGACTCTCTATATACATATATATATATATATATGTAAACATTCTTTTCTTGTTTTCCATCTTTTTTCTCTTTGTATTTTATTCTAAATATTTTCTATTGTTCTATCTTTCAGCTTATTCTCTGTACATTTGTATATAATCTACTTTTAAGAACTCTGCTGAATTCTCAATTTCATTGATTTTGTTTTTCATTTCTAGATATTTGACTTGTTTTTAAAGTTGTCATTTTAAAAAAAGATGGTTTAGGAAAGCAATGACCCTTGTATTCTGCTTCTTTTGTTTTTAGAAATTGCCTGTGTTCTACCTGTACTGACGGATGGCATACAGAGTCATCCCCACAAACCTTTCTACACAGTTGGTGAGAAGGTGACCTTTTCCTGTTCAGGTGGCATGTCCTTAGAAGGTCCTTCAGCATTTCTCTGTGGCTCCAGCCTTAAGTGGGATCCTGAGATGAAGAATGTCCAATGTGTGCAAAAAGGTGAGTGGCTTCCGTGTCTGTCCAAGGACACTTGCACTCAGGTGTGTGAGAGTCCTTCTGGTGACCTTCATGCACTGTACTGCCATTAACTGTGAGTCATTCCCTCCATCCCTGCCCCCTAGAGGGGTAACAGACTTTTGTCACATGGCAGAGATAAATTCATGGAATACAAGAAAAGGCAAGGATAGACCTGGTGATTCTGAAACTTTTAACTTAAATCCTCCATGTGAAAGATCAGCTTTATATCTGTTATGGTACCAAGAAAATAAAGCGTTTTTAAAAGCTGATTTTTTTTTTTCCTGCACCTTTACTAAGCACAGAGTTGAGACCATAATTTATACAAAATTCTATATATTTCATTTCTGGACTCTCAGAGAGTTTATTGGTATTTTTGAAATTGAAAAATTTAAAAGCATTTACATTTAACACCACAAAGCAGACATTGAAGGAAAAGTGTTGTGGTTTTTGAAGTCATTATAAGAGTGGAAAACCCAAATCCAGTATTTTGAACACCAGGAAAATTAAAATGGTCTTTTCAGAACCTAAGCGAAGAAAGGATTTAGAAAGCTAAACTATTTCTTTTTAGAGATAATTGAGATGGGATATATTTGTTTTAAAATAGCTTATTTCTTTTTTGTTTACATTTTTTAATAAATTGAAAATATTATATTTGTAACAATTAAAAACAGGAAAGAAGAAAAACTCACTTGAATGCTATTTTACATAATATTATTTCTCCAGTGTGTGATTTTTTTATCTTAATATAGTTGATTGTACACATCTGTGGAGCTGAATATCAATACCTGTGCACAGTGTGTGATTTTTAATTTGGTGCTGAAATTTGTCTTTTTTTAGTGAGGATGAAGTATTAGATTCCACAGGGGATACTGCTAGGTGAGTTAGATGTTTACAATTGTGGACTGTGTGAAGCACTGTGTCACTGGTGATAGATATGGGCTGTGGTATTACATAGGTGATAGACAATAGACTGGCAGGGGGTGCTTCCAATGGTGTGCCCTTCAGGCCAGTGCTGCTATGCTCTTTAGCTGTCAAAAGCCCCAAATCAGAGAACAATTACTTTGTTTTCTCCATACACTGAAGCATAAATATGAGTTTACTCGGGATATTTAAAGTAGTGACCTGTTCCTATAATTCTAAAATGAAAGAGAACAATGTATAGTTGATAAGGTTGCAGTTTTGTTTCAAATGAGATTATACACTTGTGTTTCCAAATGCTACTTCGGTCATTTTATAGTACAATTTGGTATAAATTTTCTCCCACTTAGTAGAAAATTCTATTAAAATTGGTTTTAATTAAGGATGTTTTTCAGACCTGTGTGTTTTTCTGAAGATGTGAATAACAATAATAACTACCCTTGAAATGAGCCTATAACAAACAAAATAATCGCAGGTTTGTCAGCCTTCAAAGTTGATGTCTCAAAATACCAGCTGTTTCAGTGTTTAGCCTTTTTTTCTAATTGTGGTAAAATATAGATAATGTAAAATTTGCCTTTTTTTTTTTTTTTTTTTTTGTCTTTTTCCGTGTCCGGCAACGGATCGCAACGCTCAGTGTTGCCCCCGTACTGGACCGGGGACCGGCAACGGGATGGCAACCCTCGGTGTTGCTCCCGCGCCTCGCTCAGCCAGTGAGCGGGAACCGGTCTGTATGTGGGATCCGAACCCTCGGGCGGGAGCGCCGCTGCGCTTCCCAAGCGGCGCACTTATCCAGTGCACCACCGGGCCAGCCCTAAAATTTGCCATTTTAACCATTTTTTTAAATGTACAGTTCAGTGGCAGTAAGTACATTCCTGTTATTGTACAAGCATCACCACCATCCATCTTCAGAATTTTTACATCTTCTCAAACTGAAACTCTGTACCTATTAAACAATAACACCCCAGGTCCCCCACTGGTATTTAATCTTGGTGTAAAGATATTTGGTTTTAAAATAGCAAAGGTACATACTCTTGGTGGTCCTTAAGAGTATGTTTATTTGGTTAACCAAGCTTTGACATTAACAAGCTATGTTCTTCTTAAATGCAAAAGTCTTTGGTGCAGGTGATTCTATCAGTGATTTTTCAGAAAGAAATTATAACTTTTAGCAAATATTTAAAGTCTAAAATTTCACAATTTTTTCTAAAATAAATTTCTAATCATAATACCGAACTAATTTACATGGCTTTATCATTAAACTAGATTAGGGTTTCTCAACCTCAATGCTGTTGGAATTTGGGCCTGGTGATTCTTTGTTGTGGGAGCCTATCCTGTGCATTGTGGGATGTTTAACAGCATCCATGGTCACTATCCACCAGATTCCAGTAGCACCTTCCAATTGTAACAACAAAAAATGTCTCTAGACATTGCAAAATGTACCCTGGGGGGCAAAATTGCCCATGTTTGAGAAGCACTGATCTATATAATGCCATTTAAAAAAACATTTTATTTTGGAATAATATTAGATTTCAGGAACTTTGCAAATTTAGTTTGCAAATACCCTTCAACCATCTTTCCATAATATTAACATCTCACATAGTTTGACATAACTCGGTTGGTTAAAACTAAGAAATTAATATTAGTACATCACTATTGACTAAACTACACACATCATTCAGATATCACTAGTTTTTCCACTAATCTCCTTATTATGTTCTAGCATCCAGTTTGGGATACTACATCACATTTAGGATAATATCATTTTAAAGTGAAATATTTAAAGAATGTGTACTTTTTGTCGAGATTGCTAGCCATGGCAGGCATGTTTCACATTGCTACCATTTTTACAAGTTTATGTACAAATCTTTCACAAGACTGTACTGTCATGTCCAATGCTCTTAAAGTTTTTAAAGTAAGGAAGTATTCTATAGTGTGTATTCATAAAAACATGTTCTTCAGATAAGCTATCTTTATAAATATACTAAATGGGTACAAGTTTTATGATGCAAAAGTATGTGCTAGTGAATTTCATCGTAGTGGAAGTGGCAGAAGGTGGAAAACTCAGGGTGTTTTAGATTATTCACATTGCAGTTAGGTATAGCTGAAGCAATGGCAGTCAAATTATGCTCTTCTAAGCTGGGTCAAGGTGTTTTCCTGTCAAAATTGGAGTGGTGGTTGACTTTTTATCAGTTTCTATAAAACACAAACTAATGGAAACAATTTTATTAATGTAAATACCTCCAGATATTTACTCACTGTTGAGGGAGGACCACTTCGGTATTTACATGTAAGAGATTATTATAGATCTCCTTGGGATAACAGGGAGTTCTTTGTGTATAATTCCAGTTACATTGCTGTTTTCTGCCCAATTATAGGCACAATGGGCAAAATGCAGTATAAGCAACGGTGTATAAACACCAATTTCTTGAAAGAAAGCCTGCTTTACTAGCCTTGGGTTCAGACAACTGTGGACTTAAATCCTGGTTTGGCCAATCCTTTAAATGTGTGAACCAGCACCAATTTCCTTACTTTTTTGACCCTTAGTTTTCTTATATCTTAAATGGACATTTGTTAGGGAGGATTAAATATCACAATGTATAAAAAGTGCAGTTGTAAATGCTCAAAAAATGGTAGCTATTATTACTAATGCAATTATTTGTAGAGTGTTCCTAGGTATACTCTATCTTTTATAAAATGCCTTACAACTTCACTTATTTTTATTTTATTTTTTTTTACTGTACAAATTTGTAGCAGTTGAGAATACTGTGGACTCAGGTTCAACAATTAATATAATACTTTATTATGAAGAACCTCTTCTTTTAACTATTGCATCTCCCTTATCCTTTTCTTTTAGACACCCCTTTAACACAGGCAGTGCCTAAATGTCAGCATTGGGAGAAACTGCAGAATTCAAGATGTGTTTGTAAAATGCCTTATGAATGCGGGTAAGCTCTGTCTTTGCCCACTTCTCTGTTTTATTTTGTTCAAGATAAACGAGATAATTTTTTAGATGCTAGTCTCTGTTAGGTTGAAGGTGTGGCTTACCAAGGGTTAAGGGACTTTGTTTGCAGTTTAATCTAGCCCATGTGCTGCCTGGGTCACCAGTGGCAGTGTTGATGTTAAGCTGTGTTCCAATCTGGCTCGTGAGCAAGGCTGAAGAACTACTTGAGCACTGCTTGTTCTATATATAAAACAGAACAAAATGACAAAACTGTCACCTGAGGATTTAGAACTTTAGAGGATAAGGGCTGAAATTCCTTTGGGACACAAACTCTTAAAGCAATGCTGATGGAGAAATGAGCAGCTGCTTTTCTAATTCTTGAACCTCTTCTCTAGATTTGCATTATAAGAATGCCACCGACTTGAAACCACTTCACTGCAGGAGGATATCTGAAGTAGTTACTAGATGTCTGTCATGGTCCTAGTAAGATACAGATGGCACAATTAAATTAGGACAGGAAGAAGTTTATTAACAGGAATATTTACAAAGTATGGACAGAGTAAAGGAAATGACAAGCCCCAGTACTCTTGGACTGGTAACAGCTCGGCCACGTGTCCATGCCCAGGCCAGAAGGAGCCAGGAGAGAAGCATTTATGGAAACCTGCAGACATAGAGGGCGAGGTGTGGATGGCTGCTGAGGAGTAGCTGACACCCTCATATTAGAGATCTCAGAGGTCCCTCAAGAGTGAACTGGGGAAATGAACACCCCAACTGCACTATCTTCCCTTCCCCCAGTCTCCTGCCAGGGCTCCCCTTTGATCAAACCCACCCAAGTTAGAGGACAAGGAAGTCCATGGTGTGGTCCATACCTTTCAGCCTCCCAGGCAGGTGGAGAAGAGTGAAGAGTGGATCTGGGGAGAAAAGGCCAGATATCCAGCCCCCCTCACCCCGCGACTTACTGGTCCTCTTTCAGGTTAAGAATCAAAACACTAACTTAGTGACTAATTACTTAGCTTTCAATTATTATGCTCATCAAAGTGCATATCCAACTTCTTGAACCTGTGGTGGGTAATAGTGATTGCATATAGTAATTTCTGATGTGAGGAAGAATATAACTAAATGGTGTAAATGGAAATGGTGGTCAGCCCAGATACATTGTGATTCCGACATTCTGACTTTGCTGCTCTTCGCTATTAATCATTGTTTACCCTGATTCACTTTCATCCTTTTTCCAACTTTCCCACTTCATTTAGTTTATCTGCAGCCTGTAGTTTACAGACATGGTATGAGTTTTCATATCATTTCATGGTATTAGATTCAGATAACAAGGTGGCAACTGTCTGCTCTTTCAGCTGTTCTGAGTAGCTCTACTTGTATTTAGACTTTAAATAAACAGATCAAAAGACAGATGCAAAAACAACTGGATTTGTTTTTGTTGTGTAAATAACTCCAGGTAAATTCAGCTCTTGGTCAAAGAGGAAAATAGTAGAGCTAAATAAAATATGTGAATGTGGACTCTTTCTGACTCTGGCTGATATACAAAAATGCTTTGCTGGCTAAGGTTTAGTAATGCCTTAAATTACAGTAATGCCTGCCTTATCCATCAGCATTCAGAAATGCAGTTGTTTTTATGAGTGACATTTCGAAATAGCTATATCTTACCATTTTATCACCAATGTTTAAGAAAAGAAGTAACACATTTTATGGAAATATTTCTAAACTATTTTGTAAACATAGACACTTTTTATTATAAAGCTGAAAAATATGGTTTTTATTTTCTTGATGATTCAGGATCATCAATTATTGGACAATACTATATTGTGGACATGAACTCTCAGGGCTGCTGGGCTGGGAGGAGCTTATTTTTCCTGCAGTCAAAGGTTCCGTTTAACTCTGATCTCAGTGTTTGATCTTTGCTGATTCTCTGTCCCCTTCCTTGTTGTCTATCCACCAGGTGTTGCTAGCAGTCCTTACCTTCTCGTCTAATTTGCTGCATCTGATCTGTTATAGATGAAACTAGATCAATGCTAGATGTCAACACTTGTAAAAATCATGAGCAACTAAAGAGTAAATATGTTCACTTTGAAGATCTGAGGGGGGTTGGGGCCTAGGAATGAAGGGGATTTGAGTTTCTGTTCCATCTTTTGCTGTGGGTAATAACATTTAGGGGCACTGAGCTCAGTGCCTCAGTTTCCACTTCATACAAGAATGAAAATCTTGTAAATAATGTAATTTAAAAAATTCTTTTCAGATCTTCCTTGGATGTATGTGCTCAAGATGAGAGAAGCAAAAGGATACTGACTCTGACAGTTTGCAAGATGAATGTTCTTCGCTGTCAGGGTAGAAATTATACTCTCATTGGGAGGGACAGCTGCAGTCTGCCTGCTCCAGCTGAGAAAGCTTGTGGCGCGTGTCCACTATGGGGAAAATGTGATGGTAAGGGGCGTTTCAAATTTGTAACAGTAAGAATGCTAAAGTAATAACACTGACGTTTCAAAAACTGTAGTTTTTAGGTTAGCAACGGAATCAAAGCAGATACCTATGGATATCAAAGACTCAGACTGATTTGACAGTGAACTGCCCTCCCCCACTCCTTTCCCTGGAGAGGGGTGCAGATCAGGTACTTAAGAGGACAAGAAACCACTCCTGATGGTCTGAATGTTCTCTCCAACATCTGTGATCCCCATTCCACATTCATGGCTTTTGCTCTGTCCTTGTATTATCTGTATTATGTACTCATTTTTTAAAAGACTCAGAAAAATAACATTTTAAAAAAAGGAAACTTTATGTCAGGTCCTTAAAAGAAAGTATCACTTGCCATAAATATTTGGTAACTATAAAAATTCATACAATGAAAGAAAATAAGGTAATAAATTCTAGCCAGATACTGCTCTGAGACTGACAATGCTCTCTCTTTTTGATAAAGGGAGTTTACAAATGTTACAGGGGTGTTGAAAACATACTAACCTCAAGCAGACACTTTCTCCTAAAAGTAATCAGAAGGATTTGAAGAGAATAGAAAAAAAAAAAGTTACTTTCATGCTCTGTGATTCAATATTTGCAAACGCTATGTCCAAGTAGCACTTACAGTGATCACTGAATCCCCCCAAGGACATGACACACATCCCACGGTTTGGTTGATACTGTGAATGGGGAAGGGCTGGGGGACGCTCAAGCCCTCAAGCAGACACTTTCTCCTAAAAGTAATCAGAAGGATTTGAAGAGAATAGAAAAAAAAAAGTTACTTTCATGCTCTGTGATTCAATATTTGCAAACGCTATGTCCAAGTAGCACTTAAAGTGATCACTGAATCCCCCCAAGGACATGACACACATCCCACGGTTTGGTTGATACTGTGAATGGGGAAGGGCTGGGGGACGCTCAAGCCAAGTCACTGTCTTGGGTTTCCCCATCTGTAAATTTGGGAGCTGGACTGTGATCTGTAAGGTCCCTGCCAACTCTTCACTCTCTCCCCCTCCTGGCCTATGCCCACTGGGCACCTATCACCTCACTCCCTCATGGTCCACTGCACAGACGATGACATACGTAACTCTGCCAAGTCTGGGTCATTTTCCGTTTGGAGGTCACCATCATCTGCTGGCTGACTTTGTTACTCTCCTTCTGCAGACACCTGGCTGGTGTCTTCCAGCCGCTCACCTTCTGTGCACAGACTCCTTTCCTCCCAACTCATTTCTGGTTTGCATATGTATATGTAACCCTTTACAGAATGTAATCCTTGCATGTCATGCCCTCCCTCTCAAAGAAAGTTTAATTATTCTTTTCTTTCTCTCTCTGTTTGAGCCTCGACTCTCACCTCTTTGCTGAGGTTTTCACACAAAAGGATGCTTAGGGAGATAGAGGATTACACTGCATGGGAGGCTCACATGGACAGCAGCATGCCTGGGGAGAGAGCTGGAGAGCTCTTGATTTGGACAGAACGGTCCCATGCGGTTCCGACCAAAAGAAAGCCTGGCACCAACCTCAAAACCTATTTATTCCCAGTGAGGCAGAACGCCTCACTTTCCTGATCCTACTGCGTTTCCAGGCGATAGTTTATTGTGCCACTCAAGGCAAAGCGCACTGCAGCTCTTTGATCACCACATCATTAACTTGGAGGACGTGAGCTTTGAGTCCCCCACCTCCACGATGTGCCATTAAGCCTCTCTCGCTTGTTTTCCCAGCCCAGAGCAGCAAATGTGTCTGCCGAGAAGCATCGGAGTGCGAGGACGAAGGGTTTAGCATCTGCGTGGAAGTGAACGGCAAGGAGCAGACCGTGTCCGAGTGCGCGGCGGGCGCCCTGAGATGCCGGGGGCAGGGCGTCTCCATCACCAGCACCAGGCCCTGCGATGCGGCACCCCCGTAGGCTCCGGCTGGCGCTGCTGCGTGGGGACAGCTGCGTCACCGGCCCGCAGACGGCTTTTCCGGCCTGGAGACCCGTTCTTTCTCCCTCCCTTCCAGTGCCCACTTCTCTCCTCAACTCCCAGCCACCTGCACAAACACAACTCTTTGTTCTCCCAAACCCAAATCCAGAGACCCTTTTAAAAATGTAAATCAGGATGAAGAATATTCTTGAAGAAACTCGAATGCTCCATTCAGCAGTATGTTTCTATTAAGTATGAATGGCCCAGCCCACCAGACACTCTACAAATTGATGAGGAAAATGGGAGAAACACGATTTCCTGATTAGAGATGTTGGCTTCTCTCAGCTAAACCAAATACAAAGGGGACGTTGAATGAAAAAAGACAGATACGATTTCCCTCCTGAGTAGTGATCTCACGCGTCACCCAAATTGATGAGGAAAATGGGAGAAACACGATTTCCTGATTAGAGATGTTGGCTTCTCTCAGCGAAACCAAATACAAAGGGGACGTTGAATGAAAAAAGACAGATACGATTTCCCTCCTGAGTAGTGATCTCACGCGTCACCCTTGGGGGTCAACCACCACCTGTAGGGATCCCTATTTTTGTCAGAAGATTGAACTGCTTAAATGTCAGAGCAGAATTCATTGTGCTCTTGTCATGGGGGTGCCTTTTGACTTCTTGTCTGAGAACAAATATCATTCAGCCTTCTCTTTGAGGCTTTCGTTCAATATGTGTCAAACACAAGACCTGCAGTTTGTCCCCCCCCCCACCCCCCCTTTTTTTTTTCTTTCTAAGAAGCATCATTTCATGCCTGAGCTAAGTGATTGTGTATTTGGGAAGTTTTCTCTAACCTTGTTAGACTTCTAGGTTTTTCAGGGGGTATACAGGCAGATTAGTTTTAAGCACTGGCTTCCTATTTGTTCCTTATTCATCTTTCATTAAAACAAAAAAGCAGCTGTGGAGGTGAAATGAATGGAATTTAAAATATGCTTTTATACGCAAATACAATCTCTGTATTTTTCTGATACTGATAAATAACGTTTCAACAAAACTTTAGTTAAAATGACAAGGACTAGAAAACTCATTAAAGATACTATTCTTTGGAATTTTTTGATATGTATTCCATTTAATTTTAGAGAATATTTCCATGAGCAATGATTAATGTGTTCTTGCCTGAAGTTTTATGTCTGATCCAGAGGCAGCTTTTTATACTGAAGTGTCCCTTGAGGGAAGATGCAGGTATAATATGTGGAGTTACAAGGAGGCAGGTTCAATGTATCGAAAACAATAACATTCAGACATTTCCACTGCATTTGTTAGAAGTTATTATGGAGTTAATTTCTACCCTGGGAAGGGGGGTAGATTTGAAAATACCAGGCCCAGATGCAGACCCCAAGACAAAAGGTTGAACAAGAATTCATTTGGGAGGAAATATCTTAGTATCCTTCTGATAATTTCTACTCTTAATTTAAGCTAGTATGAAGTTAGTTTTCTACTGCTTATGTATCACTCCTCACCCTCCCCCTGCCCAACTAATAGACATGATTTAGTCAGGATTATCAAATGCTATCAAAGACTGAGGTCTGAAAAAAGAAATTAGCAAATTTAATAACTAAGAGGTTTGAGAAAGAAGTTTCAGCAGAGTTACTGAAGGAGAAGTAAAGGGTTAATGAATCACTGGAGAAGGAGGGGAGCAGTGAATGTTGTTGCAGGGAGATGTCTTAGAATACTAAATGTGGTGCTTTTTTAAAACTTTCTGAACATTACTGTACTGACCTTTCCTTTACTCAGAGGCATTCACTCTTGCCTATAGAGAATTAGGATTGTTGCGGTAGGTGTGTAAGGAGAAAGTCACTTTCAACATTGAGTCTTTAAAAATGTTTTGAAACTTACAAAATAAGTTCTTCAACACCTAAAGAGAAAGCTTTGAGGAAATCTAGGGGAACTATTTATGCCATGAAAAAATATTGCAAAAAGAATAGATGGAGTGTGAGAATTCCCCCAGCCTGTCCTTCCCTCTGCCTCAGATCAGCTGAGGGTCACCCAGGTTAGGATGGGATTAGGCCTTGGCGAAGATAGAAAGCAATGCTGAGATTAATGTCGTCTGGACCTAGAGAGGAACAGAGGGAGAGGAGGATATTGGCAGGTGCATTAACCATCACTAGCTTTGGGCTATGCACATCCTACAGACAGTCACTTGCTATTTACGTGGACTCTGCAAGTTACCTGGGTGGAGAAATTGTCTTGGAAGATATCCTGTTTGCATTGGGGAGTGCCTTCCTGTGACATCCTATACATGTTCTAATAATTGATCAGCAGAAGTGCAGCTTATCAATGCTCTAAGATTTAATGAGTCCCATCTAAACTGTTCTGCCTGTTCTTCCTCCCCAAGACGCTTGTAATCACTTTGGAACAGAAAGTGGGTTCTTGATATTCAGGTGGGGTATGGTAGAGGTGTGGAGGGCAAGCAGGAATATCTGACAAATGACTTCTTCAACACCTAAAGAGAAAGCTTTGAGGAAATCTAGGGGAACTATTTATGCCATGAAAATATATTGCAAAAAGAATAGATGGAGTGTAAGAATTCCCCCAGCCTGTCCTTCCCTCTGCCTCAGATCAGCTGAGGGTCACCCAGGTTAGGATGGGATTAGGCCTTGGCGAAGATAGAAAGCAATGCTGAGATTAATGTCGTCTGGACCTAGAGAGGAACAGAGGGAGAGGAGGATATTGGCAGGTGCATTAACCATCACTAGCTTTGGGCTATGCACATCCTACAGACAGTCACTTGGTATTTATGTGGACTCTGCAAGTTACCTGGGTGGAGAAATTGTCTTGGAAGATCTCCTGTTTGCATTGGGGAGTGCCTTCCTGTTACATCCTATACATGTTCTAATAATTGATCAGCAGAAGTGCAGCTTATCAATGCTCTAAGATTTAATGAGTCCTATCTAAACTGTTCTGCCTGTTCTTCCTCCCCAAGATGCTTGTAATCACTTTGGAAGAGAAAGTGGGTTCTTGATATTCAGGTGGGGTATGGTAGAGGTGTGGAGGGCAAGCAGGAGTATCTGACAAATGATCCCTGGAACTTTGGGTTACCTGGCTAATTTGATTGAGGGCTGCCCTCTCAGTTGGGCAGATCATGGCTAATCTCATTTTCACATGAGGCTTGTGAGTCCATCCAGTTTTTGAGTAGCTACTTAGACAGAGGTGTAGGTGGTTTATCTAGCATTCTCTGAAACAGCCTATGTGCCTGCACATAAATCATTAATCACTTTTCCTTTTGATTAAAATAAATATATGTATTAATATTTTTGAACCCCATGGTTTATCATTTGTTCTATATTTTCCTTCTATTTCTACCCAAATTTCTTACACCCACATACTCACACACATGCTAACCCATCATAGGCATTTGGATTATTGTGAGCCTAGCATAATTGCTAGTGGAAATGGTCATCATAAAATTGAAGATAAACTAAGATGCTGCATACTTTGGGTACAGATAAAGTGGGTGTTCAGAAGTGTTACCACTTCTCTTTCTCAGCTAGGGGAGGGGTAGACAAGACAAGAGAAGAGGTGAGGTGAGGTGAGGTGAGGTGTTTGCAGTACTCTTAGTATGGGACTGGCAGAACTGAGCAGCCACATTTGTACTAGAAACAGAATGGCCTGTTTTGCTTTCAGAACATTAAGCCAGAAAGCAACCTCAGTAGGAGGCAATTTCCGTTAATATCTGAGAAACCAGAGAAGTTTATGCCTGCCTTTCAATTACCTTGGTATTTCAGGCGGTTCACACATTTGGGGACAAGAAAGCTGATGGCGTGATATGAGCCCCTGCTGTGACAACCAAAGTGCCTACAATTTATCTTTTTATTTATTCCTGCCAGACTCTGAAGGCAAAGCTCCAGGTTTACACTCCAAACCTCAATCACATAGGAAAATTTCCTTTTTCAGCCAAGGGTTAACAAAACCAGATGGAAAGATTGTTGTCTTTTCAGAAGGGGAGAAGGGGTGGGCTGGGAATAAGAAGGGGGGCAGGAGAAGAAAGAACATTAGAATGTTGTTTTTGATTTACAGGCTGAGACCAATGTCCTGTGAAAGGACAAACCTGAAAACTGCCCTGTTATCCCTGTTACTTCCAGGCCTCTCTGCAGGAGGAGACTTGTACTAAATTCCAGGGGAGGGACCTTTGGTACGTAACAGACCAGTGATGTCCAAGGCAGAGAAATATCGGTCATGAAGCATATGTGGTGCCGACTTGAGGGTCTGTTACATAATAATCAGCTGACCGAGTCTACTGGGAACACAGAGAAGACAAAGGAATTTTCAGAAACTATGAAAGGGAATTTTCTCATCAAAGGAAAGTTTTGCCTCATGTCCCTACAAGAAAGTGATGAGCCAAAGGCTCAGGACTGGTGAATCAATAGACCATATGCAACCCAATTTAGTAAGGGGCCACAACTGATCTCTTAGTCCAGAAACTCTTCTCTGCACCGATAGTATCAAGAGTGAGCAATGCCTGAGGTCACACGTGTTGTAAAGCAAGCCTATGAATTGAACTCTTGTGGCCCTATCAGCTTAGACAGCTTTGGTGTGATAATAATGGGCCTTCCAGAGTATTCCAAGTCTCTTATTAATGTAACTAAGGATTGGCTGTTTAGCATAAACATGTTACACAGATTCATTAAATATGACAGAGAAAGGCACCTTTGAGGAGATCTGACCCCAAATCCCCTCTAGCCTGGTGAGGACAGAAACTCGCCCTATATGGTTCTGTGCCCCACCATCACCCCACTCCCACCCCTATTCTCCCATTGTTTAGCAGACTGGCCATATACACTTAGTAAAGTGTCTCTTTCTCAGTTTCTTTTCCACAATCATATAGCTGGTTAGCAGAAGGCCTAGCCTGGACATGGCTCTTCTGCCTGCCAGGAGAATGCTCATCCTGTTTTATCACAGTGTTGGCCCCTTTACTGTCCTGTGCACCAGTGGATGGTAAGTTTGAGATGTCTCTTGCCAGACAGGGGCAGAGTTCACGAGCTATGTAGGGGTGGTCTCTTGCTATACCTCCAGGGATGGATTCTGAAATGTTAGCATGACTTAAACAGGCGTGCCTTTTCTTCTGCGCCATGGGAAGTGTGCCCCTCCTACTTTTTCTCTTCCTTTCTTCTTCTGAATACAGATAGAAAATTTTTCTCTCACGTCCCCTGTGGAGAATTGGCTGAAGGTGAGAAAGCTCACTGTTGAAAATCGTGGTAGAGCAGGAGGCAGAAGACTCATGGAAAAAGCTTAGAAATTCTTGAGATCTAAACAATATTGACCAACAAGCCTAAGTCCTGGGAAAGCTGATCTTGAGATGCTGGCTTATCAAGAAACTGCTGCTTCTGCTTCTAACAGTGGAGGTGGCTGGAGCCCACAGTTCCTTTGGATGTAGACTGGGAATTATGATTCTGCAGTGAACATTATTTCCCATTTTCATGGGAGAAAGAAGACTGTCTTAACAAAATATCACAGACTGGGTGGTTTAAACAACAAACATTTATTTCTCACAGTTTTGGAGGCTGGGAAGTTCAAGATCAAGGTGGTGACAGATTTGGCGTCTGGTGAAGGCCTGCCTCCCATTTTGCAGAGGCCACCTTCTCACTGTGTCCTCACGTGGTGAACAGAGAAGAATCTCTGGTCTCTTTCTCTTCTCATAAGGGCACCAATCCTATTATGAGGGCCCATGACCTCATCTAAACCTAATTACCTCCCAGAGGCCCCGCCTCCAAATACTATAACACTGGGGATTAAAGCTTCAACATATAAATTTTGTGGGGGACGTGAACATTCAGTCTATAGCAGAGGCCGTGACTGCTGTGATTTCCTGGTCAAACCTGTTGCTTCATTCAGTAGGTTTGTGAAAATCTTACTTCACAAGCTGTTCTTTGGCAATCTTGGCCAATAATGCAAAGAGATCAATGTAATTTTATAAAGCCTGTCTTTGCAGATTCTAGAGAGACATTTTTCTCTCACACTGTAATGGCAGTGCCTCAAAGACCTAATTCAGTCCTGAGTAACTCAGGCTGGAAAGTGCCATCTCTTCTGAGAAGGAAAGTTGGAACTCAGT